ACAACCCCCCCCCTCTGGGCCCGGATCTCCCAAATTCTCAAGAAGGCATCACTGCACGCTGTAAGTGCTAAGTCTGTTTGGGGTTTGAACAGATCCTGTGAATGCCGGCCCTGCTTGCACCCTGCCAGCCTCACACAAGTGAAGGGAAGGAACAGCACGATGACAGAAACTGTGTGAGATGCCGGCAAGTCCCCCCCTGCCCCAAAAGCCACCAAACACTAACTTGGGTTCATTAGTTTCTGTAAAGTTGCAAGATACATGCTTGTTGGCACTTGTTTAAGACTCACTACATAATTTAGTGGTAAAGCCACACTAATTACTCTAATTCCAACAGCCTAGTCTGATGGTGCATTTCTACCTCAATACTCAGCAACAGCAGTTTTAGTTTTTCTAAAGAAAAACAGAATGGCATTTCTCTAAGTAACTTTGAAGAGTTTCCTTTCACACCACCTACAGATTCACACAAAACTGAGGCACTGCCGTGACCTCCATCTACTGCTAATTCTTTCAACCAAAACACACATCCAAATAGATTTACTGTCTGCAATAATTTGGCTGACTTTACATATAAAATAGGAGTACAAACGTTTTCCATCATCAAGTTTTTGTACTAAATAATTCAAAAAGAGTTTTTTTTATTTTAAAACCACATAATACGGGATGACAAATCTCAAAGGTTAGATATTCTTACCCAAGCAATGATATGTAAAATGCATTTGTAGTCATTGCCATAGTGAAAATATGCTTGGGGCATTCGTTTATGAATATATATTAAGATTTCTTTTCTTAAGGCAGAGCAGATGATTTTAGAATAAGTATTTTATTTGGTATTGTGACTGTCTTGACTTAATCGAGCCGCGAGCTCTACGAGCGTCCTCGTGGGCCGCCCGGCCATGCCTTTTCGGAGGTAGGGCACCTCGTCTTTATTCGACATCACACCAGCGATATCCAAATGCGCCCAGTGAGAGGAAGTCACAAATTCCTTCAGGAATGCAGCAGCGGTGCAGGCTCCTCCAGCTCTGTGGGAAGCAGAAAAATTGGACTGTTTCTAAAGCCACATCGACAGCACAAACATGAAACAAATACACCAAAAGAAAGAGGCACGTGAACGATATTGGCACAGCTCACCTGCTGTACTTCCCAATGTTACTCAGATCTGCAAGAGGACAGTCTGTTACTTGTTTTGTGTAATGTTCAAAGAGAGGCATTCTCCAAACTCTGTCTCCTGTCAAAATGCTGGCCTGAAAAAGAAACAGTGACAGTTTTCACACATTTTTCTTTTATTTTCTCTCCCCCCAGACTGCATTTATAAACCCCAATGTCTTGCATGCTAATTTTTTGTTCAGCTCTCATCGGTCTAAAAATCTTCAGCCCAATATAATGTTACATCTTTGAAAATACACTGCAAAATAAAACAGTGAATGCTACTTTGTAGATACTCATCAGTGGTGGTCAGAAGGCAAAATCTAAAGACTGCTTTTTGTTTTTTTCCAATTAATTTTTTTCTTATATACCAAAAAATACTGGAAATCCTTCCCTTCAGAGACAAGCAAGATTACCTTTTTAACATGAACTAATTACCATTAATTAATAAGTCCAGAGCTTATTCTGCACATGCAGTAAATTAGCAGAACATGGAGATCCTTGAGATGATATGCGAGCTGTTTGCTGTACGATGTTAAACCTCACTGAGAGCTAGCAATTAATAGTCAAAATTATTGTCAATTAAATACAGTACTAACACCATTCCTACAAGATTTTGAAGTGTAATAACGTACCTTTTAGATTTGCATGAAGTAAGACCTTCAGGAATGCACTAACTTCTCAATAACAGCTATTACCAAATTAGTTTTATCATTTAGTAACGCAGGCGGCCTACCTCATACAGGTGAGTCCAAAGCCAAGATGAGTTTGTGAACACTCCAGTCGCAGCAGACCCCAATGCAACATCCATGGCACCTACAGAAACACACCTTCAAGGTTATGCAAAAGGCATATTTTTAACTCCCATTATCAGTGATTTCTAAAGTCTTCAATTACTAAAGATTTTAGTACACTTGCTTTTTTTCATTTAGACATTGTTAAAACATTTATATAATCTAATAGGACAAGAATTCATAAAATTCAAGTTTTCAGCTTGATGTTTCTGAGCAGTATTTCTAATATAATGTATTCAGCAATAACTGTCTTCCAACTGATGGCTACAATTTTTGAGCTGACACTCTCCCTTTAGTGAACTTGACTTGCATAGCTTTTTGCACAGCATATGTGAATTTATTTTACAGGAAAGTACGCCTTATCAAAATACTAAACCATGCCTAAACCAGAGGGATTACATACAGATGTATTTATGCGATGCCACAGAACTGTTTCGCTAATGCCAACACTCAATCCTTGGCGAGATTAAAAAAAATAAGAAGAAAAAAAAGTAGTTTAACAAAATGATACGTCAAAGAAATTTCTACAGGAGCTCTCCTCCTTCCTGCCTGGTGCCCAAGGATCCCAAATACAGAATAATCTATAGTGGGAATAAACACCTCCTTCTATCATGCCCTGTATAGGGAAATACTTTTATACAAGGCAGTGATCTTACAATCGCTTCCCTTGTGTCCACTGAAATCTTCCACAAGAGTTGAACTGGTAAAACTGATGGAACATCATTTAAAGCACCAGTAGAGAATATAGATAACGATAGTTATTTGGCTTAGCATATTCATTAAGCAACGCAGTGGGCTCCTGTCAGAACTACTCTTCCACATTTGCTCTCATTTCAGCTACATGCACTTCACCCACGACAGTCTGGTACTGCAGTTCAGGAGATGCACACGCAATGCTGGTTTTAAATTTAAAAGTAGAACCTCGTTCATATACAACTGTAGAAATGAAACTATTAAAGCTTGTTTCATTATGCCTGAAAGCACATGAACTGCATATAAGAGATATTTCAGTCAAACGAATTCTTGGGAACATGATAATGACTTTCCTATTCTATTACCTACAACCATTCAGACCTGAGCTAGCTCACATAATGGAAGAACTGGTGCTGGCTAGGTCAGAGCTCAGGCACACAAAGAGGCTCTTTTGGCTCCAGCATGGCCAATGCCACATGGACCTGGCAGGATTCTTCCACAACCACGCCAGTATCTCAGCACCACTCAGCCCCAGGAGCTGGGCAGACTTGGCTCAGAAAGGGGAATGCTGGGAAACTGTGCAGAAACACTGAATTCTGTGTAGGTTTTCCCACTCTTACTAGTTCTGGCTTGCCTGGGCTAGCCCAACTTCACCTACGCTGCTGAACGTGTTCCCTGCATGCCAGTGCCCTCCCCGGGGCAGCCATGCAAGCTGTTAGAGCATAAGCTCGATAGCTGCTACCCTACAACATCTAAAATCAGCTCAGCTGCTTTTACATTCAGGCTGGCTTTATGTACATAGTGCAACTAATCCACAGCTCAATTAATGGACGTAGCAAAGAACTGGCTTGCAAACTGAGCAGGGAAGGCAGACTGCTCACCTGTTAACGTTGCAGCGTTCACAACAGCCCTTGCATTGAAATTGTGGGCGTAACAAAGAGCATCAGCTAACAGCAGTCTTCCTTCTGCATCCGTGTTATCCACCTTCAGGTGCAGAATTAGTAACACAAGATTACCCACCGAGAACATCCCTTTCACTGACTTAATTCTTACATCTCTTCAATAGCTGTCAGATTCTAAATGTACTGTCAAAGGCCCCACGAACTTCAGGTAGGCAAAATATACTCAAATTTTTAAGAAAAGGAAACAGATGTGGCTGGCTCCTCAGAAGAGCCCGGAGGTGGGAGAGGAGCCCCAGAAGAGCAGTGGGTGCTGGCTGCCACCCCCAGCAAAGCCCCGTGAGTCCCAGTGGCTGCTTCTCAGCAAGGGCAGAGATCTGGCCAGCGGAAACCACTAGGCAGAAGAGGGTACCACAGAGCACACAGACATCCCTGGAAACAGTCCTTGTTGTGCTGCTTTCTCTGTGGGACTTGAAGTTTTTTCCTCTAAAAAAACCCAAACCCATTATCAAAAGCACCTTTTCTCCTTTCACCAATTCAGGGAAAATTCACTATGAATTCTGCAAGATGAATTGCACTGTGTGCCCTAAGCTACTAGTGCTCTGTCACACATTTTTTCCTGGTGAGGAAGTGTGTGACCAGTCTTTTGCCTCAAAGCAGAGGGTGACTGGAGTCTGTTTTGGAAGAAGAACCTCAAGGAACTGGAAGGTTCAGCAAGTCAAAGGTGGCACAATCACAGAAATCCAGATACAGAGAATTATTGATTAAGCCATCTGTTTTGGCACAGAATCAGTGGTCTACAGCACAGTGACTTTCAATACCATTTAATCTATTAGATGAGTATGGAACAGTTTGGATTAAACATGAAATATGCATTTTGAGTACTGATTTGGCAAGCTTTGAACCAACAGCCCCTAGGACTGAGAGTTCTGGCTGTACGGAGCAGCTTGGCAGTGTAAAGACCTTGGTTACATCAGCAGGAAACTAATACTTTTATGTCTTACCAGGCAGCAGGGAAGTATTCTGAAGGCTCTGCTGGAAGCAATTAGTATGTTATTCACTCTGAGAACCTATACTTAGGAGCACTACTACAGCCTCTTGTGCTAAAGCAAGATTTTCTAGTGTGCTCAGTAGATGACCATACTTTTCTGCTTTTCCTAGCAATTTACAAACCTTGTCTAATCTTTTCAATCTATACTTACATTCAAAATAATCCTATAATAGCATATTCTAATTAATTACATGCTTCTAACATTTTTTAAAAAAATACATTTGCACAGGGTATCTTTTTAGAGGGTCTTTTCAAACATGCACTCTGACTGCAGTCACCTAACTCAACTGATTAAGCCAATTCATTAAAACTATTCAAAATCCAAGTTTCACATGCATACCTGTATTGTTTTCCCATTCTTGGCTCTAACTACATCTCCAGGCTTGTTTGCCTTACCACTGGGCATATTTTCACAGAGGGGTGCCAGACCTCAGGGAGAAAAGTGCATTACTAGTTTCATTCTCAGAGAAGATGTAGAAAAACAATTAGAAAAGTGTAAAGAAAACAGTACTATTCTCATCTTGAATTTATGTCCAAAATCCAAATTTTCCTCGTTGCCGAGAAACTCACGATCCAGTTCTCAATCAGGGAAACTCCTCTGCACGCGCAGCACCGCATTCCCTCACCCACACCGTTTTAGCACTAGGATTTACTTCTACTTTATCCCCAGACAAGTGAGAGCAGAGGAGCAACAAATGTCACCTTACATCTTCCATATATGAAAAATTAGTCACATGTAAAGGGATTGATTCCTTCCTGAAATTAAAAACTTCTCAAATTAACACGCTGTAAATAAACATTGTATAATGTCAAGAGGGGTCCAGGACTCACCACAGAACCTGAACCATAAGAGGGACAAATAAAAATGAGTAAAAAAAGAGGGGAACACTGTCAAAACGCCAACTATGAATGGGACAGTGGGATGAAAGGCTCTCCACCATTCCGGGGGAAAACCTGCTCCCAGCAGAAGGAATAAGTGGCCTGTGGAGCACCACTTCCCAGTGGAATTACGTACACAGACTTTTCCTCTGCCGATTCAGCCCTTCCCACCGCGGATTCTACGCAGGAACGCCGCGAGGATGTTTCGCTGCCCTCTACTGGTTGAAGCATAAAAGTGACTAAAATACTAGTTTTCCTGAAATTAAAGGTTCTCAAACATAAAACTTACCCTAGAATGGATTACATGTCATCACCAACTGGTCTTGACACAGTTCTTTAATCAGCTTATTTAATTTTAGCTATGCAACATTTTTGCAGAGAAAAAAGAAAGCATTGCTCATAGTTAAAAACAGCGTCAGGTTTTGTTTGGTTTAGATTTCTGCTGAGAGATTCACCTAAGGAAGCAAGAGCTCATCCCTCTTTCTGTTCAGCTGTGGCAAACACTCATGGAGGGAGTTCAGCTAACTCCTTTTCATTTTTAACTGCTTTTACAGACATCCACATACCTCCTTCTAATGAAGGATCAGGACTTCTGAAAAACTTCTTGAAAATAAGTTTATTGACAATTATTTCTCTCCTAAGATCTAAAAATTGTGCCTTCCAAATTTTAATTCAGCATTGTCATTTTGTTCAAGCAAACCCAACAGTTCTTTGATAAGCAAGTAAAAATGGAAGAGAGGCTAAGCAAGGGAAGAAGAGAAGTAGGACTGCAAGAGCCCGTGGCATTTCTGTAAGACCACTACCGCTGACAACACGAGAAAATCGCCGTCTAAACAAAATATTGCAAAACTAAGATTTTTGAATCTTCACACAAACAGACTTACCAATTATGTTAAGAGGTAGATTTAAAGCTGCTGCTGTCACAATGGCTGAACAGATAGTTGCTGCCCCTCCCATATCTGCTCTCATCGCATCCATACCCGACGATGGCTTCAGGGAAATGCCACCACTGGAACAAACAGCACAAGCATCATCCAACACGTGGCAGTTCAGTGTTGTCTGTGTTCATAACATTCTGTCCATCAGTATGTTTTAGCACCAAGTATTAGTAAAAGCTAAGCTTGGTGATTTCAAACATTCCTGCAACACCCTAGTAAGCGTACTGAAAGGAAGGTACCTACCTGCATTTTCACTTCAGATAAAGGAAGTCTCTGAGTTACTTCCTCATAATTAGGATGCCATAAAAATCCAGGCATCTGTGGCAGACTAACTCAATGGTCTTCATAATAGCAGAAGAGCACAAAACAAGAACAAAATACTACGCTTGATAAAATCAGCATATGAAAGGGGAACAGACTGATAGATTTTTCAGTAGACATGTGACAAGAAAAGCAGTTATAAGGAACTGCTGCAAAGAATGAACTATTTTGTCTTTCCTTTAGCATGATCTAGATGTGCAGTCTGACTGTGGTTATAAACACAAATTCTTCATCCAGAGGTTTGTGCAGTCCAACCCCACCTCAAAACCATTCTTTATTTTCTTTACCCCTGAATTCCATCTTCCCCTTAGAAGACAAGGGCATATCAATTCCTACTCTGTCCAACCACTCAAGCTCATCTTATCCCCAGGAAAGCAGCACAATCTACATTAGGCAAGTTCACTGGAATGGCTTTGGAAGATGTGCTGAGGAAAGAAAAATCGTCTCCCTGTTGACCAGGAATAGCAGGAGGGCACTTTCCTCCCTCTAGTCATTAAAACACGAGCACACGTACCTGTCAAACGTAACTCCTTTTCCCACAAATACCAGCGGGCAGTCATTTGTCCTAGCACCACCTGAATAGTGAATCTCCAGGAAGACGGGAGGTTCAGCCGAACCCTTCGCTACACTCAGGAATGCTCCCATCTGTTGTGTTGCTATCCAAGACTCTGGTCTGGAATAGAAATATATATATTAATTGGGGGGTTTCTAATTGGAAAAAGGTGATTCGCTTTGTTTTTAACAGATCACAGCTCTTGAAGGTTCATACAAAACCTTCAAGAAAAAAATATTAATTTCATTTTAGTATAGTTCTTTTGGAAACTGTCACTTAAATTCAACCATTATTATTTTTTGTGAAAGAGAAAAACAGCTCCTCAAGGCTCCTTGGTTTTTGTTTTGCCTTGTTTAAAAAAAGCACCAAAAGGACAAAACAAGCAACAGCTCCTCCATGCTTTCTCCACCAGAACATTACACTTTCACTTGCCCATGCAGCTATAGTCTCTGAAGGCTTCTCAAGTAACACTACTGCAGCAGGTTACAGTTCAGCTTTCTGCTATCAAGATGGTTAACTACAGGGAAAGTTAGTTTCCCTCACTCTTTTGCTTTTCAGCCAAACTGCCTCCAACACCTGCTCAGGCAGTGAGCCCATGTCCACCAAAGCGCAGCAACTAGAAATTCAGAGACAAGAAGCATTAACTGTGCAAAATCAATCATTAGTGTTTTTGTGGCTCCATTTCAATGGTTCTAAGAGCTAAAAGCACCCCAACAATAACAGCAATAAATAAAGGATGTTTGATTACTAGAGCCAAACAAAAAAGCAAAGGTGTGTACAAAACTCCCTCAAGAAGAAAACAAAAGTTATTTGAAAAAGGGTACCTAGTATATGCCCTCTGTTCACTGAGCCTTCATCAGGTTTTCCTTTAACACGTGTTAATTAAGCAGTAATTGACTGCATGACTAACTGACAGTTAATCATCTTACTGTGTCACAGTATCTTGCTTACACTGCTAACTAGAAGCTCAGCTGCTAATACTGAGAGCTGCTAATACTGAGAGCAGCCTGCAGCCTGGGCAGCCCTGGCACCTTTCTGCCACACACCTCCCCTGCTCCTGTCATTTGAAGTGGCAGAGTGGAAATGAGAGCCTGCTGCACATCTGAATAATCTGGGAGGTATCTGACCCTACAGAGGAATCACTGCAATGGAATTTACCTTATGTGGACCTTCACATTGCTGAAACTTCTGAGCTTCTGTTCGATATGTTCAGCAAATTTGATTGGAGTTATATAATTAGCTGGAGCCTCCATAAGGTACCGAGCAAGGTTCTGACCCTCGGCGTAGGTAACACCTTTTTGCCAGGCTTCACCTGCAGCACTGAACAACACCACACAACAATCAAGATCACAAACATTTGCAAAAGTAAGATGTTGTCAGCATCCATCTGTTCTCTCCCGTTTGAATATGCAGTCTCATTAATTTGAGGCAATTAAGAATGTCATAATAATCTCACTAGGAGCAACTCAGTATGAGATCCAAGGTGCATCTAGCCCAGTAGCTCATCTCTGGTTCCAGTCAGTGCCAAATGCTCCACAGAAAGCTGGAAGAATCCCACAGCAGATGGATACAAAAATTACCTAATACATTAAGTCTTGTCCTAATCCTTAGTAGTCAGAGATTGGCTTAAATCCTTAAGCACAAGGTTTAATACCTCTTCCAAAATTTGTAATCGCATTAATTGTAACAGCCCTTAAAGTTTTTATTTACCATGTAAAGACTCCAATTCTGTTTTCCCCTTTACTGAAGATTATGATTATGTGATAAGAGTGGATTTTGGAACTCATTTCACAGCGCACTCAAAGCACTAATGAATGTCAGAGCAAATGTTTGATGTTGCCTGCACAGGCAATGGGGATGTCTCTCTGGTTACCATGCAACACTACCAGTATAAAACCTTTCATTTTACTAAGACAGAACTGAAAGACTTATTTGCTTTAAAAGATAATGCAAAGCAGGGCACTAAGCTGGATTCCACCCCTCAAACGAGCAATGCAGTAAAGAATGAATCCAGGAAGAATATAAAAACATTGCCTGGATATGGAAGGATAGAATTAAGAAGCTAAATCTCAGCTGACACCAAAACTGACATGAAGTGGAAAAGGCAACAAGAGGACTTCAACAGATACATCACCAGAAAAGGGAGGTCAGAAGTAATGCTGTCCCCTTGCTATATGGGTCAGATGATCTAGTGAACACTGGGAAAACTAAAATTCTCAATGCCTGTTTTGCATCAGTCTTAATTATTAAGGACTGCTTCCAGATTACCTAGTTCTTTTGTGCTTAGTAACATAATTTGGAGAAGAAAGGTACTACCCATGGCAGAAAAGGATAGGGTTAGGACTGCTTAAGGAAGCTGGACTTGGTAGCAGGCAGGATAAATCTGGGAGTGATGAAAGGACGGGCTGGCATCACTGCAAGCCTAGTCTCCTTCAGCTTGAGAGGCCATGGTAACTGAACATGGTCCCTGATGATTGGAAAAGGACAAATCCCCATCTTTTAAGAATGACAAGGAGGATATAGGGAATTACAAGCCAGTTATACTAGATTAATCCCCTAAAAGTTTATGGAGAAAGTCATCTTAGAAGCCACTTCCAGGTACACGAAGGGCAAGATGGTCTCTGGGAACAGTCATTATAGACTTCTTTGGGGCAAATCACTCCTGAACAATTTGACTTCTATGATGAAAGGATGGGCACACAGGACCACAGTGGATGTCATTTATCTTGGCTTTAGCAAGGTTTATCATGCAGAACCCTGGCAGACAAATCAAGTAAACATGAACTGGAGGGGTAGACTACAAAATGGGGAAAAAAATGAAGAACGGTTGGGCTCAGAAGATAGCAGACAGTGGTCTAGTTGGGAGTTAGTTATGTGTGGTGTTCCTCAAGGATTGATACTGAAACCTTTATCAACAACCTCAACAATGAAATGTACCCTCTGAAGGTCACGGACAGCATCACACTGCAGGGAGCAGCTGAAAGAGGGAGGGTAAGGCCACCATTCAGAGGCCATGACAAGCTGGAGGAATGCACAAAGGGGAACACCATGAAATTTAAAGACCTAGTGGGAATTCCTGTACCTGGGACGGAGCAGCTCTATGCAACAGACAGGCTGGACACTGACTAGGCAAAAAGCAACACTGCCAAAAAGAACCTGGGGAATCTGATGGACAGGTTAACAGAGAGAGAAGCACATTACTGCACTGACAAAGGCCAACCATGTACTGGACTGGATTAGAGTATAGCCAGCATGCTAAGGGAGATAATTATATACCTCCTTGGGGTTTTGTGAGGCTGCATCTAGCTACATCCACTTTTGAGTTCCAGAACACAAAACCACTACTGATAAACTGCAGAAAGTCCAAAGAAGGGCCCCTAAGAGGGTTAGGGAGCTGGAGTACATGGCATATAAGGAGAAGCTAAGAGAATTGGGTTTGTTTCACCTGGACAAGAAAAGTTTAAGAAAGATCTAATTGCAGTCTTTCCTCTACCCTTAAACAGGATTTAGAGAAAAGATGAAGACAGACAGATCTCAGAGCTGTGCAGTAAGAGGGTAAGAGACAGTGCTGTCAGGATTCACCAAGAGAAACTACAATAGGACAAAGGAAAAAAAAAAATAATTCCTCTTTAGTTAAGCACAAGGACAGATGGCTCAGTGAGGCTGTGGAATTTCCATCTCAGGAGAGACTCAAAACTGGACTAGACGAAGGCCTGTTCAACCTGATCAAGCTTTAAGGTTGTATGTAACTTCCAAATTATCCTTAATCCAATTTCAAGCTGGACTCCAGAGGTCCTTTCTAACCAAAATTATTATACACAAAAATTACTTCCAATGTCATTAATGGTTATAGGGTCATCTATGTTTCCAGGAAATGTTTGTTGACTGTGGATGTGATTGACTTCCGAACTATCTGCTGTGTTACACGATGGGAAGAGCACTGCACGTAGCTTATCACAATGTGCTCAAATTCAGAGGTTTTAATTTTATTTTACTAACTTCTTCATAAGGAAGAACTTTTTCCTGTATAAACTACATATGGGAAATACCTCTTCTCTGCATGACAGAACATCCTGTATGGAAGGTCCAAAGTCCACTCTGATAGAGTAAAAGGGGATTAATAAAACCTAGCTCAGGAACCAAAAGCTCTGGTATTACTGTCTGCCCTCAATGAATAGTGATATCTTTTTAGAGGCCGCCAGAAGCACCCAAGCTTCTCTTTTTGCACTACGCTCTGTGGAAGAACATGTAACAAATGGAATATGTAAACTATCTCCAGCATGGCACATTCTGGTGCCAATTCACATTTCTTGATTCTCAAAAGGATTTGTTCATTTATGGAGTTTGAAATACCTCTGCTCCACAATTTTGGCAAGCAATACTAACAGAAGTCCTTTTACATCACAACTATGCTTCCAGTCCTCTTTTACTTTTAATCTTATCCTGGACCTTCTTTTCTATGAAGTAGCATTTTTTACCTTAACCTCTGAACATGGCATGCTAACAAAACAGATGGAGCAAACACTACGAATATATTTGAGATGTAAAATACTTCAGGAAATTCAAAGGAGGAGGAGGAAGAGCTCAGAGGCATGTTGCTGCTAGCCCTGTTCTTTCAGTTTTACGTTTTTCATGTGCGCAAGCATGCGTACAGCTTTATAGCAAACGGGCAAATAAACAGGCAAGGTTCCTGTTTGCCATCACCTTCCATGAAGCTGAGGAGTAACTACAGGTTTCTTTTTCTGCTTCAGCTCATTATATTCATGCAATCCAAGGACAGCACCTTCTGCAGCCGCTTGAGCATCTCCACAGGGGTCTACTTCAACACAAGGGATCTCCAGATCTTGGATATGTCTGCAGCCAACTGAAAAACATAGTACGGACCTGGTAGGCCAAGTATTGCCCAGAGCACCAAGGCAGGTGACTGAGGGGATCGATAGGACACTTCAAGGAAAAAATAACTTTACCTCAGGATATTAGAGTTTGAGTAAATCAATTAAAAGGTCATGCAGTGGAATAATTAAAAATGCAAATGACCATATACCGACCAATTTTGACAAAAATATCACTTGATGAATTGTAATGATTAAGACGTTTCACAAGAATAAACAGGAAAGTCTGCAGTTGTTCCAGTTCCTTTAAGTTCACTCTGTATTAAAGAAAACCTCTATCATTCTGGAGTGTTGTGAATTTTGACTCTCTACAGGTATCAGAAATCTGTTGTAACTCCCTTTTTTGGCTAACAATATATGACTGCTCTTTTATTCCATATGAGTTTATACACACTCTTACAAGCAAACACACAAAATAATGTATTCCATAAATTCTACTTTGTACCCAAATAATTTAACAAAGCTTGGGCAGCTGGTGAGACAACGTGGGCTAGCACTTGGGACATACAGCTGTCGTACATGTGTGACTCACCGCCAGTCTCAGATTATAAACTCTGCAGGGCAAACTCTTTTTATTCCTGTTTTATACACCCTTAGGTGCAGCAGTCATCCTTGGTTAAAACAGAAAGGCTTCCTCTGGCTCCAACACATAACATTCCGAATTGTACTGCTGATGCTGTGGTAGATACTGGCTTACAACACAGGCCACTCAGTTACAAAGTAAGTGGCAGAAGTAAATATATGGGCATCCTTAAGCACAGAGTGAGCATAAACTGAATTGGTGATGTTCTCAAACTTCAAAATAGTTGTAATTAAACAAGGGCCCTTTCAATATCAAGCTGTTTAGGAAAGCTATTTGATATAAATACCTGCAGTTACCTGTCTGCACGCTGATTTACATGCCTTGGAACTCCTCCTCACTAACGAAACACTTACACGACTATCAGTGACAAGTAATCACATTGACCAAACCAGACAATAGGGTTTGCATTTCAAAACAAAAACATATCTAGACTCAAAAATGTTCCAAAATGGAACACACTGTGCCACTGCAATAGTTTTATAGACAAAATGCTTAAGGAAGGTTAAAAATAGTTAACCTGCAACAGCTGCACGAATGTTTTCTTTGCCTTCATTCCAGTTTTCTTGGTCATTTACTCCAGCATTCTTCTTACCCAAGCCAACTACAACCACACTTGGAAAGTCCTAGATGAAGCCGACACAACAGGATTCACTTCACTCATCATTACAAGCACAGCACTGAAATACACTCAGCACTCTCTACGCTGCACACATTTCTGCCTCAGGAAT